TATTATTATTTATTAAAATATTAGATCGGAAGAAAAGTTCTACGGTATTTTTAGTTCAAAATTATATATACAATATCTTAAAAATAATTAAAATTTAAATTTAAAAAAAGGATTTTAAATCTCTCTACTTTCAAATGATTATTATATTTTTTGAATTTATATGAGTTTTGTAATTTTTATATATAGAAAACTATACGAAAAAAATGAAAAATTTTCTTTGCTCTTTGTAGGTCTGTAGCCTAAAAAAATTTGAGCAAATTTTTAACTATCTATCGTAAAAGATTGAAGCTTTTCCTATATTTTAAAAATGTTTTTACAACTTTTAGTTCTGAGTTACTTGCATAAAAAGGAGCATTCTGACTTTGATTGCTTATAACTCCGTTAAAAATCATTGTATTGTAATTAAAAAAAACAGATTCTTCAGAAAGCTGAAACGTTGTTTTGAGTGATACATTTGAACACAATTTAAAAAAATATAAATATGAGATAAAAATTGACATTACTTTTCTTTTACCATTACGCAATGATTATAAGGACAATAATATCATTTTTAACTCAAATTATTGTATATATATTTTACATTTAAAAAATTATCATTGCACATTCGATAGAGTAAAGTTTCAATTTTAAGAATCTGTTTTATTAATTACGGTAATTTAACGAAGTTCTGAGCAATCAAAATCAGAATATCCTTTTATTTAATCCGCATGTAACTTGATAACAAAGAGTCATAGAAACATTATTTAAAAACGAACTTTTAAGAAAAATTTTAAGCTTTCATGTCAGATAGTTGAAAATTTCGCAACGAATGTTTTGTCTATAATTTTGAGCTAACGAAATACTGCAGAATTTTTCCTCCGATCCTTACTAATAACTTATGATCCAGATAGTAAACTGTCATCTTTGTCATATTATTTTTAAATGTTTTAGAATAATCTATAATTTTTTCATAATTTTGTTATTATTTTGAAAATAAGTATAAATCCTTAATTGAAAATAAGTATAAATCCTTAATTGCGAAAAATATTTGTACATGAATAATGATATTGTATGGAAACTGTAGATATGATTTTTTAGTGATTATGTGCTTAACATACAATATGACTAATTAATCAAAATAGCGATATATAATATATAAGCGATATATAATATAATATAATAATTTTTTTTTCTAGAAATACTTTAAATTTACTTCAATAAATTTTGTAATCTGTAAAACTCTTAATGAATTTTAAGTTCTTTAAAAATGAAATTTAAATGATATTTAAACAATTATGTCGACATAATAAATTTAAATATTATTTAAGTATCAATTAAATACATACTTAAATATTATTGTAATACTAGAAATAACTGGAATCTTTTTAGTAATATTTCAAATTTTCAAAGATTGCAAATTTTTTTTGTAACTTTTCATCAACCTTTCAACTAGTTTTATGTGCAAGAATCGCGGACATTTTACTATTCTAAAGTTGTCTCAGAAATGTTGCAGATATATTTCGCAATTTTTATGAAATGTTTCACTTTTCAATTAAAATATTTCTGAGATAGCTCTGAAAACTTCTGATGCTATATGGGTAATACATGTAAGTAAATGTGACTTTGTTCCTAAAATTATTATTTGTGCGCAAAGTGCTTGTAGGCAATCTAGTTGTAAGCAATAATATATGTAGACAATAATACATGTAGATAATAATACATAGACAAAAACATATGTAGGCAATAATACAGGTATTTAAATGTGACTTCGTTTCTGAAATTTTTACTTATGCAAAAGTGCATGTAGAGAATTGAGCTGTAGACAATAATTTTTGCGCAAACGAACTGTCAGCAAGTGATGTGAGGCAAAACAGGGTCCTCTCTTAAAAAACAATAATGCTTATATGACAAAATGGCATTCAATTATTTTAATTGTAAAGAAGCACGTGATATATTAATAAGAAGTTGTGCTTCACATGTTAGATTTTACCTTTAATAATTATTATTCATAATCATCAACCCTACTGCGTAGATATGTTATATTGTACTTATATTTTAAAGAACTGATTATACACACACTATTATTAAGTTAAAAGTACACACACTATTATTTCTATATAAATAAGTACCGCTTATTAAAAATTTTAATAAATATTGCTTTTTGCAAAAAAAGAGTAATCGTTTGTCGAATGCATTTATCTATTAAATGTTCATCCTTTTTATATTTGAACTTTAAAAGTGTTAACTTTATTTTAATTAAATTTTTATGCAAAGAAACAAGGAAATTTAGAACTCAGAACATAGTGAGACACTAATAAGCAAATATTTAAGAGTGTTGAAAGTTGTGAGCAAATTATATATTTTATGATAACGCTTTTTAAATTTTCATAGGTATTATCTTCAAAGATACCAGAATGCGAGTTTTAATCGCTATGTATCTAATAACTATCGCTAATACTGTATTTTTTTCTACATATACAAAAAAGTGGAAGAAGCAATTATAAAAACAATTGAGTGTGCTAGAGGTCAAATTTATTAGCATGTTTAATCTATGTTTAGTCTAGCCTAATTAACGTGTTAATGTTTATTTATAAATTATTTATAAATTACATTACATAAATTACATAAATTCTGAAAGTTAAAATATTTCATTTTTTTAATGTACATAAAACATTGATTTCAGTTAATAAATAATATAAACTAAAAAAACAATTTTTTCTTTATTCAAATTTTGTTATTTACTTAAACTTCTGAGCAATACTGTATGCAATATTGTAAAATATTTTTAAATCTCTTTATACATATATTGCATGCGGCTTGTCATTAAAGATAAAATTTGAACCAAAATACTTATCGCTATATGTCTCATATACTTATCACACTTCTCAGATCTTATTAAATGCAATTTTTATTAATATTTCAGGATATTCACGAATTTCTAGACAATGCTCAAGATGGTGCTATTTATTTCTCTCTGGGCTCAAATCTACAAACTGACCAACTACCTGCTGAATCTTTGACCGCATTGTGCAATGCCCTAGGTTCGCTTAAGCAAAGAGTTCTATGGAAACATAATAGTAACATGGCTATTCATGCAACCAACATCAAATTTGTAAAGTGGGTGCCACAACAAGCAGTACTAGGTAAAGTTGCCCAAGGTTAAACTGACAACTCTTTAACCTCGTTCTTTTCGAAAAAAGCGGATCAATTATCATGAGATATCCATTTACAAAACGGTTCGATGAGAAGCATTCTATACTGAAATTTCTTTGAAGATAGAAAATTGATAAAATTATAAAAAGAATAGATCATGCAAGAACAGAGAGAGAGAGAGAGAGAGAGAGAGAGAGAGAGAGAGAGAGAGAGAATTTCAATACTTCACAATCTTGTTTAGTTTTATGCAGCTATGGCACTTATTACATTTATAATACAATCAATATTTTATTTTAATTTTAATAATAACTACTTTGTCAAATTTAAAATATTTTATTTTAATTTAAAAAATTGTTGAAAAGTCTCAGAAATTATTATAACGTTGTAAGTTTAAAATATTTAATAATAACAACACATGATTAGGTGTACAACTGTGCTTCCGCCGTTTTCCTATAGATGGCTTTAGCGGTAAGTGGTGGTCGAAATAAATAGATCGTAGACGTCATACAATAAACTTGGGCATCTGTCAACATAACCCCATAGAAACATTAGTCGATTTGTGTTTGCATCATAAAGTTATTCTCGATTGAAAATGTCAGTTTATGAGTCAAATTCTCGTCATTTGCGAGAGGTTTTAATTTTTTGCTTCAATATGAAGAAATCTGCGGCTGAGACTCATCGAATGTTCTCAAATACTTACTGGTGAGGCCGCTATTAGTGAAAGAACGTGTCATGAGTTTCAACGCTTCAAGAACGATGATTTTGACGTTCAAGGTCAAGCTCTATATTTGGTGGGACCAGCTCGGCGTAGTGTATGAACTGTTAAAACCGACTGAAACAATCACAGGTGATCGGTATCGAACGCAATTGATGCGTTTGAAAAGAGCATTGAAAGACAAACGGCCGCAATACAACGAGAGACACGATAAAATGATTTTGCAGCATGACAATGCTCGATCCCATGTTGCGAAAGTTTTCAAGACATACTTGGAAACGTTGAAATGGAAAATCCTACCCCACCCGCCGTATTCTCCAGACATTGCTCCCTCTGACTATCACTTGTTTCGATCAATGGCACACGGCCTGGCCAACACTTCCGGTCTTATGAAGAAGTAAAAAATTGGATCGATTCGTGGATAGCCTCAAAAGATGACCAGTTTTTTCGACGCGGGATTCGTACGCTACCCGAAAGATGGGAGAAAGTAGTGGCCAGCGATGGACAATACTTTGAATCATAAATGTATAACCAGTTTTTTACAATAAAGCCTCGAATTTTGGAAAAAAAAACGGCGAAAGCAAAATTGTACACCTAATATAAAATAATGATGTAATGAATAGTTATAACTGTAGGAGAGAATTTGCTATGAATTTAATTATTTAATTTAATTACATTTATGTAATACACAAAAATTTAATGCTTTAGTATTCAAATTTTCTTAAGATTTTCTTAAAGATTTCTTAAAAAGATTACCGCGAATTAATATTATAAAATCTATTATAAAATTATGTATGAAATTGTCAAATTTTAAACATTCTGCTTAATTGAAATAAAATTTATCGAATCAATACTGAAAGTATCATTAATCAATTTATATTTCGCTGATCCCAAGTAACGATTATTAAAGAAAACAGATTTACTAACTTTATGTAAGTACTGAAACTCTTTTACTCATGAATGAAATGTAAAATTCCAATTTTATTGTTCGATCTCATAAGAACCTCATATATTGCCAAAGTACTTTAACTTCTTGTTCGCTATTATTATGAACAAGTTGAAAAACTTATACTTCGACTTTTAATATTAGGTGTGGGAAAAAGTTCGTGGCGTTTTTCCCATTAGATGGCATTAAAAAAACGCCACGAACTTTTTCCCACACCTAAAATAGTATTTACCATTTTTGATGATGTCAGTTAGTTCATTTTCAAGTTCGTTATGATCAGCCGAATGATTTTCAAAATTGTCAAATGTGTTTAATATAGATTGATCAATAGTAGATATATATGAATCCTCCTTTTCAAAATTTCTTAATTACATTTCATCTGCATTTTCTCTGTTATCTATACATTAAGTATAAAATTCTATATTTCTATACATTAAGTATAAAATTCTATATTTCTATACATTAAGTATAAAATTCTATATTCTCTCTCTATTTTAGACCGCTTATGTAAGAACACAATCAATACTATAAATAACTTTAACGATCGAAGATCTTTAATATATTTAGTAATTCAATCTTGATTGAATTATTAAATATACTGTATACAATATATATGTACTTGCATATATACCATATTTGTAGTCTTACGAACTGCGCGCCGAAATTTTTCCGGACTATATAAACACAATTAAACTACTGTAGTAAACTCGTGAATTAAATTTAACTTGTCTATATTTCTATATTATTTATATTATTTTAATTTAATTTAATCTTATTTATAATTCTATTTAAAAGAAATTTGGAGAAAAAAGGTAATAGGACTCAAGCGCGGGAATCGTTGCACAAATAATATATCGATATAATACAAATCTCTTTATTAAAATAACGTGCTTACATGTTTCGACTCATTTTTTAGCCCTCTTCAGAGACAAATCATCCTAATATGTATAATGTGTGCGTAATAACTACCTTATCGTGATGAGCTCCATTACATTATCTCTGATAATTTCAAATAATTCTTCTCTCTTCTTTTTAACATTCATCTATGTGTAATTCTATAGAGACTTTAATGTAGAGCTCCATGATAAGATAGTTATTATGCACACGTTATATATATAATATTAAGGCGATGTGTCTTTAAAGAGAGCTCAAAAATGAGTCGCAATACGTTATCTTAAGAAAGAAGTTTATGTTATATCGATATATTATTTGCGCAACTCCCGCGATTGACTCCTATTGTCCTGTTTTCTCTAAATTTCTTTTGAATAAGGTAAGGAGTCCTAAATTAATTCATAAATTCTATTTAATTTAATTCTATTTATAATTCTATTTAATTTTATTTTATTTATAATTTTATACTTCTATATTATT